AGTTATAACCAAAGAACTGAAAGAAGATGTGATTAATTAAATTAACAAACAAAAATAAATTATTATGGAACAAAACAACTTAAGATTGAAAGGAAAAGGTAAATAAAACAATGTTGTTATGGATGACCAAGAAATATAAAGAAAATCTGTCAGATATTAAATACCTACCTACCAAACTGAGACCGGGAGTCGAAGATCTGTCAGATCTGAGAAGATAAAGACCACGAATCCATGAATCATCGAATTAGAGGCGAGTCGGCGCTGCGAGAGTCGCGAGTGTGATCTGAGAAGATAGAGACTTCTGAGTTCTGAGATTTGAGATAGTGAGAAGGCCGAGAGGCTGAGAGGAGAGGAGAGGAAGGGAGGGGAGGCGGAGCGGCGGAGTGACCGAGTGAGTTTGAGAAATTGAGAGGTTAGGTAAATTTAGGTTTTGAGTTTGTTTTGAGTTTTCACTTTTCAACTTTTGATAGACAAAATTCGAATTATTTGATATCTTATTATTATTTGAGCAGATCTTACAACGGTCCACACTCCACAGCCCACAGCAACACTGTCAGCACAGCCCAGTACTAGTAGTCCACACCCCACAAGTAATCAAGTATATATATATATATATATATATATATATATATATATCGGATCGGTTCGGTTCTGGAACCGAACCGTGAGTTAGGAACCGGAACCGGAACCGGTTTCAACGGTTCCTTATTTTTGGAACCGGAATCGAAATCAGAACCGATGAGAACCGAAAAATCGGTTCCGGTTCTCATAGTTCCGATTCCCGTTCTATGGTTCTTTTGTGCACCCCTATATTACGTGGTTTTGTTTTAGGCATTTGAAATCCTTTTGGTATTTTTATATAAATATCACTATCCAGTGATCCATATAAATATGTTGTTGCCACGTCCATTAGATACGTATGCAATCTTTCTGTGACTGCCAAATGTATTATGAATCGAAATGTATGTTAAAAAGAACAAAAACATGGTCAACATTTTGGAAGATCGGATGGTAGAGGTGGCAGCTTTTGATTTGGCCGCTTTCCATTCATGACAACCCAAGCCATCTTCAAGCCCCAACTCGCGTGGACTTCCAGGTGGTAGTGCATGAACCATATACACCTATTTACATATCACCCAAAAGCGATTAGAGCATCTACAATGCGGCTGCTATATGGGCTGCCAATTCAAAATATAGCAGGCGGGCCTTAAAAATAGGCTCTCTAATGCAATGCTAAATGGCCTACTACTTTTTAACTTTGTTATTTCTTATGACAATTGTAGCACAAGACATGGCATTAGCTATTTTAGAGAGAGAGAAACTATTTCAGAGAGAGAGAGAGAGAGAGGGGGTTTCAGATCTATATATATATATATATATATATATATATATATATATATATATATATATATTTAAAAAAATCATAAAAAATTTCACCAAATAGGATTTACTTTGCAAAACAAGAATTATAGATCTTGATTACAAGAAAAAAAAATAGAATTACAGACCTTCATTATAAAATAGAATTACAGAAAAAAAAAAATTAAAACAAAACCCATACATACAAGTTAGCCGTTGCAGAGACAGAGGGGGACAAGCTTGAGAGTTGACAGACAGCAGCTGAAGCTTGCGAAGGGTGAACCCGAACTGGAACAGCGGGTGATCTGAAATGATATGGTCGAAAGAGGGGGCAAGTTCAGTGAGAACGAGAATAGAGATGGAGGCGATTGGGGAGGCTGAAATGATTTGCCCTAAATATATACTATATTTTTTCTTGGGTCATATGCCTTTAAATTATATAGTTAAATATATATAAATTATATAGTTAATTATATGGGTCATGGGCCTCTTTTTTTTTTTTTTTTTTTTTTTTTTGACCAGATATTTTAGATTTTTACTTCTTTTTAATTATGTTTAATTATAGTTTCCTTCTAATGTCTACAACTTGAATTGAAATGTGTCTAATATTAATATTACTGATACAAATATGAATAGTGGGAATGGTAGTTGAAATTAAAGGTGATTGTGTCAAAAAATAGCATTTTGCATAAAATGCACCACTGGAGCAGAATTGGTAAAATATAACAATTTGATACTGTAGCACCTGCCAAAATATAGATTTGGCATGTGAAAATGACTTCTGGCATTGAAAATGGTCTTAGAGTTTTCATTTGATCACTTTTAATTCCAAATTTTTAAGTTTTTATTCTGAATTTGTCCGACTAAAAATACTAATTTTAATCGTGTACTGGATTTGAAGAGCTGAATTTGCAACTGTACACGTGAAAATTATATGTTAATTAATTGGATTTAAATATAATTTTCAAAATTAGTCAACTAATTAATTTTAATTTCTCATTTAATTAGTGTTATAATATACTAGTACTCTATATATAGCTACCTGGATTATCCGGCAAGAAAGCGAATGGCAACCCAACCAGCGGAGGGGACATCAACGGTGTTCCATTCAACGGGGTCGACAAGGTTGAACTTAGCCGGATCCTTCCTGGGATCGTAGTTTCCGAAACCCTGACCCAACACAAAGAAGTTGAATCCATGGAGGTGCAGTGGGTGGCTCTCTGCCCCAATAATGCTTGTGTCCTGCATCACAAGCTCCACACTAGTCTTAAATGGAAGCACCACCACTTTGGTCCCATTGTTCACCATAATGTTACTCGGTGGATTGCCTGTATAGTTAAATTTAAATGGTGGGTTGGCTGGAAAATCAGTGGTGTATACACCTTTTGATTGTTGAAAGAAGTGAACTTGAAGAAGAGCTGTGTTTGGAAGCACAAAGGACACATTGTTAACGGAAGCTGCCAATTTAGTGTTATTGGGTCCTTGACAAGTTTGGTTCTGAGGACATGGGTTTAACCCCAACCCCACTGTGAAGAAAAATCGTCTATCCACTTTTTTGGGTGCTTTTGCAGGGAATTTCGCATTGGCTAAGCTTCGAGTTTGTTGCTGAAATTGGTTGCAAATGATGTGTCATTGAACTTGGGAAGTGCTGATTGTAGCAGAGGGAGCTTGTTCTTCGTTGTGGTGGCGGATGGTTGGTGATATTCAAGGATTCCGGCAGTGGTGGTGTTGTCGAAAGCTGCAGGGCCGGTGGCATAAGGCCTAGCGGCCATTAAAAAGGTTGCATTTGGGAAGTGAGATTTGGTCTTGAGGAGGACATTTGTGGTCTGTCCAGGGGTGATGAGAACTATTCTGGTTTTGAATGGCTTAACATAGATGGCATTGGTTTCGACAACGGTGAGAGTGTGTTTGGTAATGCTGAAGAAGAGCTCGTCGTTAAGTGCAGCATTTATCTGACGGAGAAGGTATGTCTTCCCTGGCTTCACTTTCATTTTAAACGCATCTGCATGATATTTCTTCAAATTAATGCCCACAACATATAAATTCACCAAAATGCCCTTGTATATATTACATAGAATTTATATATAATACCTTTAGCCGAGCACTATTAGAAGGGTCCAGGAAGACCATTAATGGTATAGGCATCACAGATATTTGGGGCTCCTCCTGATTGCAGAGCTTGGTTGATGATTGTCTCTGTATTTGCCTTCCACCATTCACCTACAATCCAAGAAAGTAATCACCCCATAATTGGAATTTTGATCAAATGTTAAGGGATGGAAAAACATTAAATTATTACATAATTACAATATTTTATAGAAAAATTGATTTGTAATCCAACAAGTCAGACTAATTCGACATGTGAGTGAAATATGATGCAATCTCTCACTCACATAACTGCAGTCAGATGGTCCGACTTTCAATTGCTGTATTAAGATTGGATAAAGATTGAGTAAATTCTTTTCCTGGAACATAATGAATTGGATTACCAAAAATGATGGGGACTTCTTTGTGGGGTTGAGGAAATGGGTAAGGAATGTGTCTTTTAGGAAGGACGACAATAGGTCCATAGAGTGTGACTCTGAGCCATGAGATAAGGTCCCTCTTTGGCCAGTGATGGTGAAGTCATACACAAAGATCTGGCCTGTTTGAATTGGGCATTGTGTGATATATGCAGGTCCATCTGCCCATCCAGTCCTCAGTTGTCGCACTCCGTGCCTATCATTCACCCAACATTAAATTCACACATTATACAGATATCAAACTAATTCAACTAATAAGTACTCCTAACAAGTTAACAACCACAACTATAACAATAATAGCTATAGCTAGGGTGGTTGCATACCAGTGAATTGTGACATTGTTCTGAATGTGGTTAACCACTTTAACTAACACTGTATCCCCTTCCCTCGCGATGATCCGAGGCCCCGGAAACTGACCATTGACTGTCACAATGCTCTTTGTTTGGCACAACCTTGTGACATTTTGTAGCTTGATCTTGTAAATAATAAATCAAAAGAGTCGTATAAAAATATTATACTACATTTCAATATACATGTTATAAATGTCACACATACATCAAACTTGTAGTGCCTGGTAATGCCTGCATGTTTGGCAAGCACAAGCTCAGCTAGAACTGACAAAACACCGAGGACAAGGAAAAAGCAAGAACCCATCTCAAATGTTTCTGTTTGTTTTCTTTTCTTTGTGGGTTGTTTGGGTGATTGAAATTGAGCTGTAATTGGTGGAGAGGAAGACATGTGAAGAACGTATCTATAGGGAGAGAAATCTGGGATCGGATTCTGCCTTAGATTGAGTTGGGGCTACACCAATGAAAATATGATTGCACTCTGGGGTTGATCAATTGCTTCACCTCGAAAATGCTTTGTTCTTCTCCTAACTGTACCTTCGTTGAATTATCCTAGGAAATGCCACGACTCTGTTCTAGGTGAAGCAATTCTAATAATTTTGATGGTTTTAGCTGAAGTTTTTATGCCCTATTAATATAAGTATTTTTACATAATCAAGCATAAGAAATTTCAATTGGTAATAAGCTATCCAAGCATTTTCCATTTCGGACAGTATATAGAGGAGTGGTTCACAACATAATATGTCCCTTGCTTAGGAATAGAAAAGAGGAGTATAAAAATTAGATAATCCAATAATATTATTAAAGCATCCTTGCATGAACATATTGAATTCTGAATGCTACAAAAAGAGGACCACTCTTCTCCTTTCCCTTACTCGGATAAATAAGATGATAACTGAAATCTTTTATTGCGGAAATTAACACAAATGCTCCAAAAAAATTGCCAATGAATTACAATGGGTGAGAAAAGTTAGCGCCGGTGTCAATTACTTCAAATGAAGTGTGCATCCTGAAGTGAGTGAAAAAATTCAACATTTGGGGAGATCTGCTGGTGGTGGAAGCAGCTTTTGATTGGGAAGCTTTCCATCTAAGACAAGCCATGCCATCTTCAAACCCCAGCTGGTGTGGACTTCCAGGTGACAATGCATGAACCATACCCCTGTAGACAAATTATATATATGCATGAAGCAATACAAACATACCTTTCCTATATATGAATGATAATAGTCTTCCTTAAAAGCTCTGTCCCGGATTAATCACAAAAGGTGGGACAAATTTTTCCGAAAAACTTTGGAAACTTTAGTGAAAAAAAAAAAAATTCAACTAACAATTAGTGTTGACATGAAAATTATGAATGCAATATATCCATTATAGCATTAAAATGTGGATGAGAAATTTATCACTGGATTATAATGCTGACTCTAATTACCCACCTGGATTGTCTGCCAGAAACCGAATAGCTACCCACCCTCCAGAGGGCACACCCACAGTGTTCCTTTCAATGGGGTCAACAAGATTGAAGTTTGTAGGGTCATTTTTCAGATCATAGTTCCCAAATCCTTGGCCAACAACAAAGAAATTGAAACCATGGAGATGGAGAGGATGACTCTCAGCTCCAAGAATGCTTGTGTCCTGCAAGACTAGCTCCACACTAGTGTTGAAGGGAAGTACCATTAATTTGGTCCCATTGCCCACCATAGTATTATTTGGAGGATTGCCAGTGTAGTTGAACCAATGCAACGGATTTATTGGGAAGTCAGGGCTATAAACTCCATTTGATTGGCCAGAGAAGTGGGCTTGGAGGAGGGCTGTGGTTGGTTGTGCAAAGGAAACATTACTAATCGAGGCTGCAAACCTGGTTCCATTAGGTCCTTGACAGGTTTGGTTTTGCTGGCATGGGCTAGTTCCGAGGCTTATTGTGAAGAAAAATTGTTTGTCAACTTTTTGGGGTACATTGGCAGGGAATTGAGCACTCGCTAAGCTACGAAGTTTCTTTGAAAAATTGGTGGCAAATGAGGTGTCATTGAGAGTAGGCAGGGTTGGTTTGAAGAGTGGAAGTTTTTTCATTGAGATGGTTGAATGAATGGATGGTAATTCATATTCTAGGATACCAGCGACAGTGGAGTTGTCAAATGTGCCAAGGCCTGTCACATATGGTCTAGCAGTCATGAGGAAAGTGGCACTTGGGAACGAAGGCTTGGTCTTGAGAAGAACATTAGTGGTCTGTCCAGGGGCAATGAGAAGTGTCTCGGTCTCAAATGGCTTAACATAAATTGCATCGGCTTCAACAACTGTGAGAGCGTGGTTCGCGATGCTGAAGAAGAGTTCATCATTGAGTGCTGCATTGATCAAACGAAGAAGGTATGTCCTTCCAGGCTTAACCTTCAGCTTGAATGTGTCTGCCAAAACCAATTTGCACATGTTAATTAGCACTACTAGTACAAAATTAAAAATGTTATTTGCCAAAAGAAAAAGAAATTGTAATTGCATTTGATACCTTTGGCAGAGCAATTATACAAAGGACCAGGAAGTCCATTGAAGGTATAGGCATCAGAGACATTTGGGCCGCCTCCTGTTTGTGTGGCCTGGTTAATTATTGCCTCAGTATCGGCATTGAACCACTCTCCTGCAATTGAATATAGGACATTGTGTTTGTAAATTTAGAAATGTGATTGAGGGATTATTAATTGAGTTTAATTAGATTCAAATTGTATGTATAGTTGATTACCAAAGATGATTGGAACTTCCTTGTGAGGTTTGGCAAATGGGTAAGAAATGTTAAGCTTAGGAAGAATGATTAGAGGACCATAGACAGTTGCTCTTAGCCATGAGATATGGGCATGCCAAAAGAGAGTCCCTCTTTGGCCGATAATGGTGAAGTTGTACACATAGCTCTGGCCAGTTTGAATAGGGCACTGAGTTATATATGCTGGTCCATCAGCCCATCCTGATCGAAGCTGTCTAATGCCATGCCTGTTTCAAAGAAATCACTTAGCCATTTAGATTATGGTGCTTTATATTATTAGTAGCATGTGCATAGTTCAAAACTAGTACTGATCTTTTAAGACTTTGGAGTTTCATACCAGTGGATGGAAATATTATTCTGAACTTGGTTAGCCACTTCTATAAGAAGACGGTCACCCTCCCTAGCTACAATGCGAGGACCAGGAAACTTCCCATTTATGGTGACTATGCTCTTACTATGGCAAAGTCGCGTCACATTTTGCACCACAACCTACAAAATATTTTTCAAAAACTGTCAAGAAACTAAAAGAACAAAGTGAATTGTGGAAATCACAAATATGGAACGATATTAATTAGCTTGAGAGGCTGCATAGACATACATTAAATTTGTAATGCCTAGTTATTCCTTCATCCTTGGCAAGTGCAGAGCAAGAAAGGAGAGACAATGTCAGCAATGAGATGAAAACTCCCAGAAATGGTGGCGAAGAAAGAACAGGAACACCCATCTGTGTGTGCGTGTGTAGAAAAGGTGGTTGTTGATGGGTGATTAATGTTATTGTGCTTTCTGAGTAATGATTCCTCAGAGCTCATTGGGGTCATGTATATATACAGGGTTGAGGAAGGAGTGTTTGGTTGATTACAGATGGAAATTGATATTCTAGACAATGAGAGAAAACTAGAATTAGAGCTTCACTAGCAATTTAATTTGTTAGCACCAGCAGTTGCTAGAAAACAACTTTAGAGTGTTGTCAAAGACAATCTAGTTTGTCTGCCCACTTTCTCTTTCCTCACAGATTCTCTACATGAACTAATGAGATTTGATTTTGACCATCTCCCAAATGATAGCTACCAAAGATAGTGAAATTTAATTCGCTCCTTGTACTTCTCTATCTTAATTAATATGTTTTTGATAAATTCTGGTGGTTGGTTCTCTGGGGATTAAGGAGAATGGGGGTTTTCCAGTGGAGATCTCCGTGTTACATGACATTCAAATACAAAAATAATCTTGCATTTTGAATTTATGATGTACATCACAATTATGAATTAACTACCCGAAAACCTTAGTGGCAATGTTAAATGTTTAAACATCAATCTGAGTTGTGGGTTCGAAAATCATATCAGCTAATTGGACACAAATATTATCAAATTAATTTTAATTAGTTTCTCAGCATCCTATATATTAGACTGATCACTGAAGTCACTACCATACACCGGTTCATGTCCAATTTACCAGAACGCTACCTAAAAGTCATTTCTTTCCTTTTTTGGCCTCAGATTCATTCAATATAACTTTGGTACATCATTAACTTTACTTTGCTGGTCTAGGTTTCTTTAATTGGCATCATAGCGGGCATAGCAATATATATATATATATATAATAGCTAGCCCAGTGTTCAGACACATAAAGTTATGATTAAAGAACAAAATCCAGAAAGAGAAATAAATTTACAAATAATATCCTATTCACTAGTCTGTTAAGCAGCATATTCCACGGCTTAGTTTGAGGTAACTTGATGCATGTAATTTATATAATTTTTGTTGGCTTTTTCTCTTATACCACTTTCTGACTTTGCTCTGATACCACTTTGTTAAAAATAGTGGATGGGTTAGAGACACACAAAACTTAATAATATTTTGGAAGAGAATGATATGAAAGAATACTTGGAAGATTATTTTATTTCACTTCTTCTATTATTTGACTAGAGTACATGAATATATAGGCCACATGAACATAGGTGTAATAATTACATTTAAGTGCCCAATTACTCACACTAACATAACTTTTAGGCTTAACTCCCACTACTCCCACTAACATGGTATTTAGAAGGTTTAATTCCCACTAACATAACCATTTAGACTTAACTCTCATGACCTTTGGTTTTACATAACCTTCATCATCACACTAACTCTCATATACTAATTCTCACTAAGATAATTTATTACCCACCAACATGCTAAATACCCACATACACTATGTAAGACAAATACTTAAAATGATTAATTAAATACAAAAATACTAAAATCAAGTTTATTATTCAACACCCCCCTTTAAACTTGATTTTTGTAACTTGAGAATCTTATTAATCTTGGGGGCTTGATCAAAAGTTCAATGTTTGATCTTCAATTCCACCTCCTTCAATAGCTTCAATCTTCTTGGCCATTTCCATTGATGTGTAGGGCTTGTGAAACTTCTTCAAATGCTTGAATAATTCGTTCTCATTATCGATCTTTATCTTCTTCACGCAAGCACACCAATCTTCTTTCCTCTCGAAATTTCGATACTTCTTGAACTTTACATGTGCTATTACTTTGGAATAAAAAAATAACTCCATATTCACCCAACCTGTGTCAGTTACCAAATTCTCCGAACTATCTTATAAAAAATTATTCGAAAAATTCTTCTCGCCTTTAGCTTCAATCTCATAATTAATTGGAACAATTTTCTTTAAGAGAAGTTCATCATTCTCCACAAAATAAGCATTATTTGATGAATATGAAGAAATAATATATAATTTCATAAAATAAGTCAAATATAACTTCTTTCAAGGTGGAATTTGTAATCATACCTGAAACTGTTAACTCACAAATTTCATCAACTTTTGTCTTTTCTTTAGCACTTTCTTCTCCTTTAATTTCTCTTTCCACTTCAATCTTCTCCACTTTTTCAATTTCTTATTCAACACCTTTCTTTATCTCTTCCATATTCATCATTTCACTTTGGCCTTCAACTTTTGAATCTTCAATTTCTTCAACTTCATTTGTGTTGTACACCTCTTCATTCTGCACAAATTTGTCCTCCAAACTTTTATAATCAACCTTCGTAAACTCATCATCCTCAAAGCATTGTACCCAATACTCCATGGGTAGTGATTCACTTCTATGATTGGAAACGATCTTCCAAACACAACTTGGAGTTTTGGACTCTCCAAAATACTCCCAAATTTCTTGATGTATTGCTTTCTGCAACACTACCAATGCCTTTTCTTCTTTCTTTTCTTGAAGCTTGTTGGACATGCCATTCTTTGGCTTTAATCCAACAACATCCCACAAATCACATGCTTTGAGGAATGAAGTTATGATGACTTTCATTCTCTTGTAATTAGAGAACATCTTCTTCTCACTAAGAAAATACATTTTCTCCCCTTCATCATCATCAAGGAGAAACATGTTTTTCTCAAATGTTGAACCTTCTAGGATCAACTTCGTCAGGCCTTCAAGATCATCTAGGCTCTCAATATGAAATCTGGCTCTGATAATGACCTGGCTCTGATACCACTTTGTTGGCTTTTTTTCTGATACCACTTTCTGGCTTTGCTCTGATATCACTTTATTGAAAATAGTGGATGGGTTAGAGACACACAACACTCAATAATATTTTGGAAGAGAATGATATGGAGGAATACTTGGAAGATTATTTTATTCCACTTCTTCTATTATTTGACTAGAGTACATAAATATATAGGCCACATGAACATAGATGTAATAATTACATTTAAGTGCCCAATTACTCACACTAACATAACTTTTAGGCTTAACTCCCACTACTCCCACTAACATGATATTTAGGAGGTTTAATTTCCACTAACATAACCATTTAGATTTAACTCCCACATAACCATTCAGACTTAACTCCCATGACCTTTGGTTTTACATAACCTTCATCATCACACTAACTCTCATATACTAATTCTCATTAAGATAATTTACTACCCACTAACATGCTAAATGCCCAAAAACACTATGTAAGACAAATACTTAAAATGATTAATTAAATACTAAAATCAAGTTTATTATTCAACAGACTGTGATTGAGACAAGTAAAAATCTCAACCGTTATTCTTGCCAACCAAGCAAATCAAAGTATATATTTCTATATATATATCAAGCAGAACCATTCAAAGATGTATATATATATGTTTTTATCATTTTCATGAAGGACACACCTCTTGGATGAATATTGGAGAAGCTGACCAGGTTGGTGGCTAGGGTACTGTCACCTTAGTTCTCCTAAGCAAAGAAGTGTTTGAGCAATTTATTTCTCAAGCAAAGATGAGATAGACTGATATGTTTGGTTATTACTTATTAGTGTCTTTTATGACTATATGGTCCGCAAACGAACAAACTAGGAAGATTACCTACCAAGTAAAAGCAAAAAAAAATAAGGATGGTTTGATTCAGATATACGGGAATTGAATATCAGTTTGGTATTTCAACTGTCGCCAGGCTCACAAGTCTTATTGTAGTTGTACCAACTACGCTCCTTCCAGAGCCCTGTGTGTGGGTTGATATGTTTTTCTGAGGACATTTTCATTTTATTAGACTTTAAATTTCTATTACTACTCATTTCTTTCAATATTTATTGTGAACGCAAATTCAAAATAGCACGGTCAATATTTTGGAAGTCCAAACGATCCAAGAAGAAAGGAGCTGGAACAGATGGAGGAGCCAAAGGCAACGATAGACCGAAAAGCGGATCGAGTCACTGGTCCGCGGAACTCTACTGTGGGCTGGGCATTTTAGCCCTGCAGACGCTGGACTTCATGAGGCTCACCTTTTGGGAGCTCACTTGGGACCTGATGGAGCCCATTTGCTTCTTCGTCACCTCACTCCATTTCACACTTGCCTACGCCTTCTTCCTCCGGACCTCCAAAGAACCCTCTTTCGAAGGGTACTTCCGACGCCGGTTCAGGACGAAACAAGAAAAGCTCATGAAGATTCACAACTTCGATGTCGGAAAATACAACAATCTCTGCAAACTTTTTTTATCCCAACTACTACGACAAGGTTGGGCATTTCCCGGCATCCAATCATGCAGGAGGGGCGGTTTTTAATGCCATACATGGTTAGTACTAGTAACTTACAAAGTTTTGGAGAGATTAGTATGAAATTAGAAACTTTTTTGACTGTAAAAACAGGATGTAGTATTTTGTAAGTGATGTTGAATTAGTAGTAAGAATCAAAATCTACAATCTTGTAAGCACTCTAGATTTTACTAATGCCATAATGCAATGTTTACCGATAAAACAAATGATAACGAATTTTGGTCAAGCAAAAATCAATGTTAAAACGGATTTGGGCCAGTTTATAGGCTGTTTGTTTGGGCCTTGTTTGTTAAAAAAAATGCTGATTGTTTGGGCCATTTTTTTGTGCACTTGTTTTGGGTGTGTTTTCTGTTTTGTTTGTTTTTGCCCTTTGCCTCTTCTTGGGCTTTCCTTGTTTGGGCCTTGAGGTATGTCCCTAGTATACAGGTGTATAATGTATTGTCTTTTTATACACTCTCTTACCTACCCAAAAAAAGAAAAAAGAAAAAGAAAATTAAATTTTTCATTAGCTTCAAAAATCTTTTGATAATTAATGTCTCTCCTCCCAAATACAGTTTCAACTTTCAAAACAGTTAATCAAATGTCCAACCAAATTTTCGTATTTAGGAAACAACATTGCATCTTAATAGTATTTGTTCAGCTCGTGAAAACCATGGTTCCACTTTCCAGGTGAATGGAAAGTAGGGGTGGATGTCGGGCGTGCCAGGAACTGCTGTCATTCCAAAGTGGATATCC